ACAAACAACTTATATTATCTTCCATAAAATAATGTTATATTTCAGTCTTCAGATGTGTATGCATTTAAGTCAGAATGCATATAAATGTCAGAAAACTAGTCAGGGTCCATGGGATTGGCTTTAAGATTGGGGGCATAGAAAACTGGTGATATTAAAGAGTTTTGGCAGCTGTGCAGCCTCGTTTCAGAAGACATGAGCACTTGTCCAGTGGGTCTTCATGAGGCAAGGCCTGTGGAGATAGTCTCTCAATCAGCAAGAACCAGTGGACTTCAGGACAGTTCTGAATGATGCTGACTACACACTCTCTTCTTTCCCATAATGCTGATGATTCCTTGGGCAGTTTTTAGTGTCATCTTGTTAGTCATGCATATTACAGATGTGATTATTCTGGGAAACCCCATTTTTTTTTCTCAAAGATTTTCCCCTAAAATTCCCTGGGAACTGAGGCTTGTTAGGTTTGTTATAGGGAGGCTTATGCATGCAGGACCTAGGCAACCTACGACAAATAACTTGTTTCTATAAATATGCTTTGTTAAGTTTTGAACAATATTGTTGTTCTTGGGAAAGTGTGCCTATGTTTATCACCTTTTAGCTTTGTAAGGACAGGATGTGCTTGCCTGGATATTTAGCCAAGCTAGCACAATGTTAAGCTTTGTTTTTATCTTAAAGGATTTTTGCTGTAAAAAGTTGTGGGGTAAAACATATTTGTTTTTGCCAGAGATTAATGCTGTTAACTCACAATTGTTTTAAAGTATAAATAAAGATGACTCAAGTTATTTGGAGCCAGCCACTTCTGTGAAACTTATTTGGTGGCAGTACAATTCCTCTTCCACCAACTCCCTTTCTGTGTCTCAGAACCTGAACCTGAGCTGTGGTAAGACCTTGGCAAAGGAGGAAATATAAATGGTAGAAATAAAGGACTAAGTCATGCTGGAATAAGAGAACAATGGAAGAATGGGTGTGGGGGAAGGGATGACTAACATGAGGACTTATAGACTGAGTACATGGAAACCTACTACTGCAGAAACTTCACAGAGCATAAAGATCTACATACATAGAAGTCACTATGGGGACTTTAATTGGGGAATCATGCCCCACTGAGACACCATAGACAATCAAACACAATCCCAGTACTAGGTATGTGTTACCTCTTTTTGAGTTGTTGACCAGTGGGGTCTCTCATAGATTCCCTAAACAATTTATATTGCTGTTGCTCAAAATTTTATTTTCAATTAGCTTACAAACTAGTGATATTGCATAAGGCTTCTTCATACATACATACTCTTAGTTAAAACATCTTTATATCTCTTTTCTTTCATGCTCAATTTCTATTTTTTATACCCTAATCTCCCAGTATTTCCATTCCTGTATGTTTATATCATTGTTCTATTTTCTCTTATTATATTTTTTTAGTTAGAGAGCAAGATCATTGGTTCCTAAATGTTATAGGGTCTGGGTAAGTCCAACACAACTCACATACAAAATCAACGCAGAAAACAAATATTCAGTGTAATCAAGCCGCTACTGATTGATCAGGAGAGCAAAACAGACTCGGGAGCTGAACTGCTACCCAAGACAGATTGTTACAGAGCTTTTAAGCCTGAAAATCACAAATGTCTGTGCCAAGTTAAAGTTACATTTTTCACCAATCAGAATTCAAATATTAGGGACTTTCCTAGGAACCTTTGCCTGTGGTGTACTTATCTTGTTTTAATTGGTGGCCTTGCCCAACTGTGGTTAGGTGACTTGCCCAGCATTCATGTCTCAACTTGCCAACCAAGATGTCAGTGATGTTAGTTACCCAGGGAGGTCTGGGGATGCCTTGAGAACTTGAACGTTATTTGGCCCTTATACAAAATGGAAGTTCTATCCAAAATGGCTTCAGTATGGTTCCTCCTTAAACTAAACAGATGCTTCATGCAGTTTATTTTGATCAAGCCTTACCTATTTCATAGTTTCTCTATCTTCATCTATCAACTACATGCTTCATCCCCTCTGTCTTAGCATTCCCTCTCTCTTCAATCATTTCACTTATATTCTTCTGTCCATGCTCGCTATATGCCTCACCTCTGCAAATGTACTGTTTCTAATTCCTTGTCTTCTAATTTACATTGTGTAATACTTATAGATGAGTGTCTTACTCAGCCTTCACCAGTGAAGCTTCCTCCTGCCATAGATAGGAACAAACACAGACATTCACAACTGGACAACATTCAGACAGTAAGATAATTTTGTTGTTGTTACTGTTGTTGTTTGTGCTACTTGGGTTTTACTCCCATTATTAACACATACTAAACAAGCACTCATAACTCCTCAGCTTTTTTATCAAGGGAGGTTTTGCAAAATTATCAGTGCTGGCCTTGATCAACTAAGTGCCTGCTTCAATCTAGCATGAATACATAGATGATTATTCTATTCATCAATATTTTATCTTATGTGAAAATAAATTGCTGGCTTCCTTCATAGTTGGAGGACCTAAGGGAGGCCTCATTATCTAAATATTGCCCATGTGAGGACAAAGGAAAAGGAGAAAAAGCATAATCATTATTAGCATCATGTCTGTACTGTCTGGACCAGTCCTGAGAATGTTCACTGCAATAAAAATTAGCAAATGTCTATTCTGTAGCAGAAGTGAACACAGTCATCTTTGCAATCGTCTCATCCCAATGCCACAGGCATCTGGGCCATAGATATTGAAGGGCTCTTTATCATGCTGAAGCTTGGCAAACATGGTGCAGACAGGTTTTTTATCCCTTTCCTCCTTTAGTTCTGCCTTACTAAAGTCATTATATTGGATTCCTAAAATTATCTCCCGAGGTCCATTCCCTTATCAGGCCACTGACTCGTTCTGGAGACAAAACACTAAGGTCCAACAATCAAAATCCATTATTTGGCTAACCTATCCAATTAGGACTTCCCAACTTACCCTAGCACAAATTCCTCCATTTTCTCTTTAAAGACCCACTACTGTAAAACAAACAAACAAACAACTAAACCTTCTGTTTCTGCTTCTATTTGCTCTTGCAGTGTGCAGATCCAGAGGCAGCACCTCTCCCCTACCAAGTCCAAGTCCAACTTGTCCCTCCTTTATGCTGAGAACTTGGTGTCTGGGTGTGTCCTGTATTGACTTCAAAGGGTTGCCCTCTCTGATGGTTATGTTTTACTTCTGTTCATAATTGCTGTTACATTCATATGTGAAAATGTGTTAATTTCCCTCACTAAGAGAGATTTGAAAAAAGTAAAAAGAGAGAGAACATGATGCACAGGGCTCCACTGTCTCTCCACACACTGTGGAGGACAGCCTCTCTATGGAATGAAGAGGCTTGTCACAGTTATTGCAACTTTTAATGTTTCATGTGACTATTTTAAAATGACTCTTGACTATAAACATTTTATCTACTCACATTGATTCACAGAAGAGAAAATCCAGATCTTCATGGTTTATGTAGAATATAATTATGTGGAATATTTTTGTTCAGGATACCTTGATTATATAAACACAGTCCATTTTGGAAATATTTTGTTCATTTTGCAGTGAAATTCCATATGGGAAACCCATATGAAATTCAACTATGATGGGAGACAATTAACTTGTCTCCAAATCTTCCATTGGGTTAAAGTTTTCTTTATTGTCAATTAACTCAAGCTTTTTAACCTATCAAGAAAGATGTTTTAGTCCTCATATTTCCAGGCTCTTACAGAATAGGTAAAAGAAGCCTTAAAAAGAAGCTTCAATTTTCTACCCTGCACTGTCTGAAGCCTTCTTCCTATTAGTGTCTCAATGACCACTCTGCTCTTTATTCCTTGACTTGGCTGTCCTCCCAAAATTGAACACAAATATGTAGCCTGTCTTCATTTCCCAACAAAGCAATCTTCATTATTATAAACACTATTAACCCAAAGTCATTGTGGGTGTGAAGAATAATGTGAAATTAATAAAGCAAAGAAATATTTGCAATGTTCTACAGAAGAAAGTTAGGATTCAGATGGTAATATGATTGTCAGAATGTCTCGGTGAGTCTTTTCAGGGAAAAGCTCTGTCTGTCTTCTTGGCTCCTAGTTTAACAACTTTGTAGGCACATTTTCTGTCCCAGGTCTGCTTTTCGTGAATTCTAGACACTTGAATCATTAAAAATATTTCATTTTCCAATTTGTAGATGAACTTAACTACCTACTGAAAAAAAACAAAAAAACAAAAAAGAAACCAACCCTGGACTCTGGACTCTTCTAACCAAAGGAATAATTCAAAATAAAGTGAATACTGCTGCAACCCTACATACAGGTATCCCCACAGACAAGCCATAATCCAGTTCCAAGGATGAAATATATTCTCATGCTCATATTTCCAAAATAAAAATGTTTAAAAGAACACATGAGTTAATAGTTTGCTTGAAACATAGAAAAATTAAGATATTCTAGAATTTTCATTGAGCTATTAGTTACCAATGAGTCATACCTGTTACATTGGCAGTTGAAAGGGATAAGTTGTTGCTGTTTTTCAGTGGAAGATGTAAAGAAAAAACAGAATCAGATGTTTGAATTACACATTCAAAGGAATACATTCAAAACGAGAAACCACACACAGTTGAAACTGCCATCCTAGTATTAATTCACTTGACCATTTGATGAAGACCTCTTTTAGATTGTTAGAGGGGGACAAAGTACATTTTTAATGAATGGGGAAAGGGAAAGTTGTTTCAGTGACTATTTTTAAATAATACAGAGCATGGAAAATGGTAAAAATGACAAAAAAAGAAATGGGAAACTCTGGAAATATTGAAACCAAATCTAAATGACTCAGACTTCCTTTTATGGAGAAAGAAAAAACAGATAAGGTTTCAGGATTACACCAATAGTTTCTGTTTGTTGAAACTGGACAAAAAGCAAAATAAAAAGTAGAATATTTTGAAGGGGAAAAAGACAGAAGTATCCTAATGAAATATAGCCCACCAACTGAAACTCTGTGCAAAAATAAGAGGCATAAAGACAACCCCATCCAGTCAAAAGTTCCTAACGCTCAGTGTTTTCCTAAGGGCAACTTTAATATCTTTGTTCCTCAAACTGTAGATTAAGGGATTCATCATGGGAACCACGTTGGTATAAAAGACAGAAAAGATTTTTCCTTCATTCCTAGACCCAGCTGAGGAGGGTTTGAAATATGCAAGTGCACTTGCACCAAAGAACAGAAAAACAGCAATGATGTGGGGGCTGCAGGTACTGAAGGCTTTGGACCTGCCCTCAGAGGAACTGATGTGGAATATGCTGGAAAGGATGAAACCATAGGAGATGAAAATAGTTGAAGTAGGCACAATGATGTTGATGCACCCAACAATAAAAATTACAAGCTTGTTGGCATAGGTGCTCGTACAGGAGAGCTGGAGCAAAGCAGGAATATCACAGAAGTAGTGGTTGATGACATTGGCATCACAGAAGGTCAGTCTCAGCATGCATACAGTGTGAGCCATAGCATCAGAAAATGCAATAAAGTAGGAACCAAGCATAAGGATCAAACATAATTTAGGAGACATAACAACATTATACAACAATGGATTACAAATGGCCACATAGCGATCATAGGCCATTGAAGTCAACACATAACAATCAGAAATAACAAAAAAACAAAAGAAGTAGACTTGGGTCATACATTCAGTGTAAGGTATTACATTTTTCCTTAACACAAAGTTCATCAGCATTTGGGGAGTGAATACAGAAGAATAGCAGAGGTCTATAAAGGACAAGTTAAAGAGAAAAAAGTACATAGGCGTGTGGAGGTGAGAATTCAGCAAAGTCAGAATGATCAAACACAAATTTCCCAATGCAGTGACCAGATACATTGCTAGAAACACAAAGAACAAGGGTATCTGGAGATCAGGCTGGTCTGTTAATCCTACCAGGATGAATTCAGTCACCAATGAGACATTTTCTGAGTCCATTCTTCTCTAAGGGAACCTGTGGACACAGAAAAGAGAGCTTCATGAAATAATGATCCACACTAGTCATGGGTCCTTCCCATCTATGATATGTATACTGGAAATGCCACAATTATGCATATAGAATCAACTAGTACATTCTCAAACATATTATCTTGAATCAGAAAGAAATGCATAACAAATTCCATTATGATTACTGAAAAAATATTACAAGATAAAGGAGAAGAATACACTGAAAAGGGTTCAGTACTCTCCCATTTCCTGTTTTCCTTCACTAGAGCCCTCTCTACAACAAAATTGGAAGGGGATGCCTGGACAGTGCAGTGCTGGCTGCTGCTACAGATTTACCTTTGCTGTGGTATGAATGAAAATCATGTGCCTAATATAAAATTAAAGAAAAAGAAAGAGGCATTGCAAGAAAATTTTCTGCACCCCACCCACGTCACAGAGTCATGAATCTGGAAGACTTGAAACCTAACCATATAGGAGAATCCTAACAAAGATGCTGCAACTCCAGTGGTCACCAACACCTCTCTCTGATCCCTCTGAACAGATTCTTCTGCTTGTTTCACTTGGGTCTCATTTTGAACAGCACAGGAAAGAAATTTCTAAAGACCATTATATAGTAAGAGATAGAAAGGGAATTCAATTGAATGGGAGGAGAGTCAGGAAGGACATCAGATGAGTTGAAGGAGAGGAAACTGTAATCAGAATATATTATATGAAAATTATCTCTTATCAGTAAAATAAAAACAAATGCTCATTTAAAAAGAAGGTGTTAATATACCTGAAATTCAGGAACTCACAATTTTCCGTCCAAACATGAGAGCTTGCTTACTTAACTTTCCTGGACCAGTTTCTGAATTGCAGAACATTATTTTTTATTAAGACTTTGAGTCTTCTGGAAGCAGAGTAAAGGCCCTTTAACTGCAAGGTGTGTGGGCTTATAAGCATGGTAGAAGAATGTCCAGGCTCTTTCTTAGAGGAGAGCATTTAAATAAAAGTAGGATCTGAGAGTATTTTATTAAACCCTGGATCAGGATCCTAATTTCCTGAGGGACCCACAATTACACTCATCCTTTCCATTGACCCTAGAGAATGTACAGCCCCCAGTGTAGATTGAGAGATAGACTCTTGCCTCTCCAATTATCTTGAGATCTGATGGAAAATCTGAGTTTGGGTTCTTCCTCTCCTGCTTCCTGCAGTTAAGTGAGAATTACCCACAGGCCCTGCTCCTTATTAAATTATGGGTGTGAAAGTTGTAGAGTATTGTAGCAAGGAACCTCCAGTGCTGAACTTCTAGAAACATCATAGATGCCATTTTTATAAATATATTTCTGAAAAAGATTTACACCACGAGTCACATTAACATGGAAGGACAAAAGCTCATGGGGCCTCAACCCATGAAAAACTGAAAACAAATTAATGCTGGGATTGGAACAAATTGGCTTTTTTTTCACAGAGAAACCTACTCCAATTAGTAATCCAATATCAATATCAGGTGACCGCTATGAACTCTTTTACAAAGAAGTGACATTATATGAACTGAGAGGTTGTATTTACTTCTTTAGGGAAATATATGGATATATGTAATGATTAAAGATATAGGGGTCCTGAATTTTACAGAGAGCAAAAAATTGTTCAAGGGAAAGATTGGAAGCACAAAAGGGAAATATGGAATGCTATTTTTAAAACTCTAGAATATTTTAGGAAAATAAAATAAAATATAACTGCATCAAGCACCCAGTTCCCGTCCCCTTCTCCAAGTACTCCCATGCTCATCCTTGAACTCCCTCTCAAATTAATGACTTTTCTCCTTGCCTTTTTTTCCTTATTATATTAATTGTATAGAACTAATACTATAATATAAACATAAATTATATAATATATTGTTCGTGTATTAATAATATTGATCAATATGTAAATAATATATATTTTATTAATATGTTGTTAATTATATGATATAATATAAATTATACAAGTGTGAATTAATCCAGTCTCAAGAAGACAAATACCATGTTATCTCTCCTCTGCTGTAATATTTTATGTGGATACATACAATTATATAAATACATATGACAGGAATGTAGGGCAACAAAGAGATCTAATAAATACTGGCATGCAGAGATGAAAAATGGTCTGATAAGCAGGTATGGAGGAAATATTCTCAATGAGTCACAGGTTGTATATGAAAATCTTCTATGTCACATGTTGTATATAGTGCCAACATTAAAGATTAATAATTTTGATTTGAAGTTGTATATTTAACAGATTTACATGTAATATTCATATATAAAAACTTTAAGAATTTTTATCTAATGTAAAATATGTCAAGTATTCAAAAATAAGCCTGTCAATATTTGAAAAAGTAAAGATTTATAAAAATCTGTGTATTCTATCAGGACGACTGTAGACAAACATTACACACCAGGAAAAAAAATGCAAGCAGGATGTATTTCAAATTCATATAACTCACACAATTTTAAAAAGCATATAAATCAATTAATCAAGATCCACAAGAGTTTGTATGTTCTAAGCTGAAGAACATTTTATTTTGTCTATGAAGAAAAAATAAAACTGTTACACTTAAAAGTGGTCTTTTTTCTGGGAAGTAAATCATACACAATGATGAAACAGATTGAGAGATCACTTGCTTATTATAAATCATTCTATACTTCCTTGACAAACTACTTATCATATTCTCATTTATCTTTTGGATAAAGCTTGCATCCTGGATATTTGCTGGACGGTTCCATTTCAGTTCATCCAATGAGACGATTAAATTTGAGTGGATTCAAAATACATTGAACTACACTCATTCTAAAGAGTATCTATATATGTCCCCCTGTGGTATACACCATTTAGATGAAGCATTTTAAACAAACACTTGACAGTTTGTGGTTTATTTAGATATTCTCAGAAAATTGTGTTACTACTTTAAAAGCATTATCTTTAAAAAATAAAATAAAAGTTCCTTCTGGCCCTACCATAACTGCACCCCAGTGAATGCTGCTGTTTATAGATTGTACACCACTAACCTTCAAAGGTGACTCTTGCACTCATTTGAAATCCTGCATAAGACTCTTCTAGAGTCTTAAGAAGCTTTACAGCTATTCCATGTAGAAACATTAATAATTTCTTAACTTAAATTGATTTGTTCAATTTGAAGTGAATGAATTCCTTTTTAATACTTAGGAATCTCAGTATTTATTTTAATCTCCATAACTTATTTTAATGTTTAAAGAAAAATAAAATTTTGTTGTCCAGTCAAGATAACACCATCATAAATTTCATGAAACCAGCTAGGCATTAGTGGTAAGCATCTTTAATACCAGCGCTTGGGAGGCAGAGGCATGTAGATGTCTGTGAGTTCAAAGCCAACAAAGTAGGGACAGCCAGAACTGTTACACAGAGAAACCCTGTCTCAAAGAAAGAAAGAAACTTTAAGAAACCTAACATTAAAACATAGAAGCTTATGAATTTTTCTCACTAACTGGCAATCCCAGACATTTCACTCAATATAGATAGAAAGATGGATTGATAGCCAGATACATAAACAAAAAATAAACAGACAGACAGGTGGACATGAAGATATTATTATGTCAGTTTATTAATGTCTGATGAACATCAGAGTCAACATTCATTTGTTCCATGAATATCAAAACACTCAACATTTCAAATAAAGCTAAGCCAGTATAGTCACCTTTGGGGACTCGTTAATATTAGTGGGTCTCCTACTACACCATGTAAGAATGATAAAGTTTGATGGACTCCACAGAATTCTCAGTCAACACCTTCCACCATTCTCAACGAGCATGTGTCTGCCCAAATTAAACTGAAAAATTCTGTAAAATCTTCCTTGGTTCCATAGTCTTGCACATTAACTTAAAGAATGAATGTGATAATGATACATTTTTTACTTTGATTTCTTTGTTATGTATAATAAATACAATCAGATTTTGTCAGTATAAATTACAAAGGCCCATTCGCTTTAAAGGGTTTCAAGAGAATCAACTTTAGTTAGAACTTTATTCACATTGACAAATCTGCATAAACAGAATCTGTTGTACAGATGCACAAAGTTACAACAGAACTTTACCATTTCCATAATTTCACATCCTATGGGACATAAATACTACTTAAGAATACTGTTAACAAAATCCTTGGCTGTTTTCATTCATTTCCATTAAGAATATACATGTATATTTTTCATATTGCAACATCATCTGCTTTATTTTTTAATTAATTTTACTGAAATTAGAAACAATCTTATTCTACATACCAATCCTAGTTCCCTCTTTCTCCCATCCCACCCCTAACTCACCCATACCACCAACATCCACTCCTCAGGGAGGGTGAGGCCTCCCATGGGCGATCACCAAAGTCTGTCACCTCATTTTGGGCAGGACATAGGCCCTCCCCTATGTTTCTAGGCTGAGAGAATATGCCTCAATAGGGATTGGGCTCCCAAAGCCCATTCGTGCACTAGGAATAAATACTGGTTCCACTGCCAGAGGTGCCATAGACTGCACAGGCCCCCCAACTAACACCAATGTTCAGGGGCCCTGGTTCAGTCATATGCTGGTTCCCCAGCTGTCAGACTGGGGTCCATGAGCTCCCACTTGCTCAGGTCAACTGTTTCTGTGGGTTTCTCCAACATGGTCTTAGCCCCATTGCTCATCACTTCTCTCTCTCTACAAATGGATTCTAGGAGTTTGGCTCAGTATTTAGCTATTAATCTCTACTTCTGCTTCCATCAGCTACTGGACGAAGACTCTAGGATGGCATAAAAGGTAGTCATCAATCTCATTATAGGGGAAGGGCATTTAAGGTAGCCTCTCAACTATTGCTTAGATTCTTAGTAGGGGTCATAGTTCTGGATCTCTGGACACTTCCCTAGTGCCAGATTTCTCTATAATTTCTCGTTAAGCCTATAATGGCTCCCTTTATTGAAATATCTCTTTCCTTACTCTCCTCTGTTCATCCCCCAACTCACTTTCCTG